ATGTTTTGCGCTTGAATTGATACCTGGTTATCATCTTCGAGAGAAGATGATATACCTTTTGCACCTGGCAGCCTCTGAATTGATGCAAGACCGTACGCATTTACCTTCATGAGGTTGCACCTGTTTTAAACAGAAATTGCGACGGATCTGCTCTAGATTAATTTTAAATCTATGTTTACAAATATATTTTAAATATTTTGATAGCGACATTTCTAAATTAAGATATGTACCAATTTTGACATATGTTAATTTTGACATGAGAAAGTAGCTGTCAAATAACGCAAAGAGAGGTTATTGTTATTATTTTTGTTTTGTGCTGTTTTTTAATTTAATAGAAAATGGAAGAAGAGAATTCTCTGTATTACTCTCATCAGAAATTGCAGAATTTAATCGTATCGAATTCTGGAAAAAGACCAGAGGAAGTGGTAATTAAATTCTTCAGAGAAAGTAACTTTGCTCCAATCCCTGACTTCCAAAAAGGTAATTGTTGATGATAAAACTTTCTTTACAATTAATTAATATATTGTTATTTTGGTAGGTGCTGAATGGTTTAATGTTTCCAGGCCTCTATCACTGGAATCTGAATTGAAAAGGAAGTTAGTTCTATTGGATTTTTTCACTTACTGCTGCATCAATTGTATGCACATTTTGCCTGAACTGAAGGAAATTGAAGAAGAGTTCACTGTTGATGATGGATTTGTTGTTGTATGTGGTTTAATATTAAATTGAAATGATTATGTTGATGGGCTTGTAATTTGTAGGTTGGAGTACACAGTGCCAAATTTGAAAATGAAAAGTCTTCTGCTAATGTGTTGAATGCAGTGCAAAGGTATAATATAAACCATCCGGTTATAAATGACAAGAATTCAGAGATGTGGAGGCGGTGTGAGGTTCACTGTTGGCCTACTCTATTGCTGATTGGGCCAAATAGGAAGCCGTTAGTAATGATGATGGGAGAAGGACATAAAGAGCATATGAGGCTGTACATTAGTGCTGCATTGGAATGCTTCAAAGATGATGTAAGTAAAAAAGATATACCTCTACATCTGTCTGCTCATTTGATTGGAGATGCAAGCGACGTTGCTTCTCTCAAATTCCCTGGAAAAGTAGCCTATCATAATGGAGTGTTGGCAGTATCAGATTCCGGAAACAACAGAATTCTATTGATAGAAAATGGAAAAATAATTAAAATTATTGGTAACGGTGGTTTGGGTGGTCGCAAGGATGGTACTTTATCCGAGGCGAAATTTAATAATCCTCAAGGATTAACTTTCGCCAAAAACAAAGATGTTATTTATGTGGCGGATACAGATAATCATGCCATTAGAAAGATCGATCTGATAAAGGGTTTAGTTACTACGGTTGCTGGACGTGGCGGTATCCAAGGTAACGATTATAAGGGCGGAGCGATTGGGGAGGAGCAAGTGATTTCTTCTCCGTGGGACGTGGCCCTTTATGGAAATATTCTATTGATAGCCATGGCCGGAACCCATCAAATTTGGGGCTTGTTTATCGAAGAGACTAAGTTCTGGAAAGGAAAGGTCTACGAGAAAGGAACGGTAGTTAACTTGGCAGGAAGCGGCCGCGAGGAAAACCGTAACAATTCCTATCCCGCCAATGCCGCGTTTGCCCAACCTTCCGGGCTGACGATCAACGAGGAGAAGGCTGAAATGTACTTGGCCGATAGTGAGAGTTCGGCTATCAGGAAGGTGTCTTTATTAGATGGCAAGGTCTCAGCTGTTGTGGGTGGCGATAGGAACCCAAGTGTAAGAAAGTTTTCTTTCAATATTTTCAATATTAATTTGTTTCACTTTGTAGGACTTATTCGCTTTCGGTGATGTGGATGGAGTTGCTTTCAATGCCAAACTGCAACACCCATTAGGCGTGGCTTACGCTTCCGGAGAGGTGTACGTTTGTGACACGTACAACCACAAAATTAAGATAATCGACGTGGAACAGAATTCCGTGCGTACTTTATCCAATTTGGGGACGTTCAATGAACCTGGTGGCATTTGTGTTGGAAACAATGACGAAATCTACGTGGCCGATACGAACAATCATTGCATCAAGCGCATCAAACATAAGAGCAATGTCGAGATTCTGAAGTTTGATATGGAGACCTCCATCGATGGTAAAGTAAAACGCGATACAGTATTATTAATCCGTGACAAAGTCATGGTCAACTCGAACGATGGGCGTATCGAATTGAAGCTTATCCTAGATTTTGTCGGGGGGTTGACTCTGACCGCGAACGCCCCGAACAAATGTACACTCGACATGAAATCCAAGCAGATTTCCGGTTCCGCCACGAGCGACAGTCAAGTTGCATTTTCCACATTTATCATGAAATGCAACGGGAACGCAGGCGACGATTATATCGACGTCAATTATAATTTGATCACCTGCATGGGTGATATCTGTCTTCCGAAACGGTTCGTCGTCAGGCAACCCATCGAACTGGGAAACAAATTCCCTGAGATGGTGAGCTGTTCCGCCAAAGTCGAGATCTCTATGAACGATTTCAAATTGTTATGATGTCATTTGAAAGTTTTATATTGTTAATTTATTAACTTGAAATCTATATATTTTATGGATGATGCTAGGCGCAACTGTAATATTACTTTATTCTTGTTCTATGTAAGAGTTAAGTAATATGCAAACTTATTTTGTTAACTAATGCTTTTATGGTTGCCTAAATAAATGTTTTTCTAACGTCGCCGCTGTTTTGATTGATTTTACCAATAAGATAGGTTAATTCTTATAAAAAGAAAAATGTGCGACGGAGATGCGAAAATCTGTACATTGGAGGAGGAAATTGCAGAATTGAGGAGATTGTTGCGTGACAAAGAAGAATGTTTGAGGGCTCTTAAAATTGAGGTAAATTAATACGATATTTGTTGCATATGTGAAACGTTGTTGTTTTAGAAAACATTAAGAAACAAGTTCAGTGGAGATTTGGATAGAGATGAGGTGGTGAGATATAGCCGACAATTGTTAATACCAGAGGTTGGTGTTGATGGACAGGTTGCTCTGAAGAAGGGAAAGGTTTTGATAATTGGAATCGGAGGTCTTGGTTGTCCTGCCTCATTGTATCTGGCATCAGCTGGAGTTGGTAAGTAGGTCAACATTAAGTGGAGAAAAAATATACTTATTTGTTTCTTTTCTCAGGTGAACTTACTCTAGTTGACAATGATGTTGTGGAAATATCAAACTTACACAGACAGGTTCTGCATGATGAATCAACAGTTGGTATACCTAAAGTATTATCGGCATGTGAAAAATTGAAGAAGTAAGTTCCTTCAATAGTATTGTAGTTCAGTAGGTAATAACAGTAATATGTTTTAGGATTAATCCCAATATTAAATTGATACCCAAGCAATTGCATGCAAATAGTGAGACAGTAAAGTTGCTCCTTGAAGAGAATCAGTTTGATGTGGTTATTGATGGCAGCGATAATGTGGCTACACGCTATTTGCTGAACGATGCTTGCGTTCTGAATGGGGTGCCCTTAGTTTCGGGGAGCGCTTTGCAATTTGAAGGACAATTGACGGTCTACAATTACAAGGGTGGTCCTTGTTACCGCTGCCTGTTTCCGACTCCGCCCCCACCGGAAACCGTCACCAGTTGCGGCGATGGCGGAGTCTTAGGTCCAGTCCCAGGAATGATCGGAGTATTACAAGCACTGGAAACGATCAAAATACTAACGAAGTCGGAGGGTGTCGTGGCAGGACGTCTGATGACTTTCGACGGTGCCGATTTAACATTCAGGAACATCAAACTCCGACCGAGGAGCGCGACGTGTGCTGTCTGCGGCGACAATCCTACCGTCAAAGAGTTGATCGATTACGAGCAGTTCTGCGGATCAAGGGCCGACGACAAAGTCCACAATATATCTATTCTAGGTGCAGATGAGCAAATTAAACCGGACAAACTCGATGAACGGTTGCTAATAGTGGATGTGCGGCCGGAGCTGGAGTATCGGATGTGTCACCTTCCTAATAGCGTTAACATTCCTTACAGCAAAATCCAAAGCGGAAAGGCTTTGGATGCAATCGCAGAGTCTCTCAATAGAAATGGACAAGAAGGTATGGATTGTATTGGATTTGTTGATGTATCAATTTTATAATTCAATTTCTTCTTCAGTGTACGTGCTCTGTAGACGGGGAAACGATTCACAGAGGGCGATAGCTGCGCTAAAACCACACCTACCTGGCGTAAAACTCATCAACATCAAGGGCGGCCTGCATTCCTATTCGAAACTAGTGGACGACCACTTTCCCGTTTACTAGGGTCTTCTAATAATCACGAGAATACTTTTTGGGTTTATATTAAAGGATGAATCTATTACTAAACTAAAGCAAGACAAAAAAAAAAGAACAGGTGTGGTGAAAACAGAACAAATGATTACACGCCCTCCCCTAAGAGAAAAAATAATAATATTAAATAGGTGCACTGTTAGTGTTTTGAGCAATAATAATAATAGAAAAGAAATATCAACGAAACAGAAACAGCGGTTTCACATAATTGAAGAGAAGAGAAACAATTATCCCAGACCGTGGTCTTCGAAAAATCCCTGCGGCGTTTCTTCCTGCAAAGAAAAAAACAAAACAAAAATGCAATCAAATCGAGTTTGATCAGGACGAAATAAGATCAGGTGGGAAGGATAGAAAAAAAAATAAACACCATAAAGGGTTGGGCGTGGTTTCATGAGCTAAACGAGATGCGGATTGGGCGAGAATAACCATAACCAAAAAGTAAATAAAAGATGTTAGTAACCAAAAAAAAAATAAATAAACCAAAATCCAATCGATCTACGAACGCATAAAAAACAAAATAAATTAACAAGAGAACATAAAAACTCACGTTTTATTCTAAACTGAGGTTAATATTTGGTTTTTTTTAGATACAATCAGAAAGTCTACCATTTTCTTGTTAACGTTTGGACAAAAATACATTATTGTTTTATAGGAGAATAAAATAAAAGGACAAAAAAAAACCTTTGTTCAAAAAAAAAAAACTAAGATTTAGGTACTAACTAACTATTCGTTTGGCACATATAATATGATGAAGAGAAAAGAGAAAACATTTTGGTGTGTTTGACTATTATTAAATGACTATCATTAAAATTAGTAGAAGTGCGTCAATATTATTCACTTAAGTTAAGTGTGCTGTGGATTAGAGATATGGAAGGTATCCTCTGTTTCAGAGGCGGGCACCATTGCTTTCTCCGCTTGTGGGTATATATTTTTACAGAAGACCAATGTCCCGCAAAGCGCCCTCTACTGCCTCGTCCTTTTGAAAAATAATAATAATAAAGAGAGAAAAACGAAAAACTACAGAGACCATAAACCAATTAAAGGCGATGCTGCCGCGAACGCGCCACGCCTCTCCGCCACATGCGAAACGATCCGATTGGATGTCGGCGGGAGGCGTGGCAGGTACGCGAACAGGCACCGCCTACAAACAAAATACAACGAAAACAATGGAAATAAACGAACACCCACACACGAACAAAGATAGAGAAGCATGCAAAACAAACCCAAAGCGGAGGTGTATTTACAGGGAAAACCTGAATGACGTAAGAAAAAAATAAATAATAAATAAAAAAAAACTCGTCGAATTGGATGTACTCGTCTTTGTCTCTTAATTATATCTCGATAGTCGCAGTTAGCTTAGTACAACAACAGAAAAAAAAACAATAATTAAACAAAATTAGGAACTAAAAGTAACCCGTCTCAACGATTAATTACAAATAATAACAGATAATTATAATCATTAACTACAGCTAAATTATTCCTGTGTGCCTCAGGACTAGATTATTAGTTAATCGAAAAAATAAAAATTACCCTAGCCAACCCCAAATTCAACTTAAAACTGATTACATTTGTTTCGGAAAATTGAGTATTTGCTTGATTTTCACTTAAAGGGAATAAAGCTAAGAAGGTATTTAATTAAGTTTAATAGACTAAATGCTATTCGTGAAAAGTAGAAGGAACCTTTAAATCTTAGTATTATTCAATATTGTATAGTGCTAATTGATAGGAAAGCTGCAATAAAATAGACTAATAGTAGAGAGTTAGAGCAGTAATTGGAATTGTGTGTATCACATAAAAATACGCGTGTGTAAGTCTTTGGCAAGAGGATGACGCAAATCAAGCAAATGCTCTTTCAATTTTATAAACGGTATAACTGAACACTTTGAAAACTAATTATTATAATAATGTGCTTGCTGCAAAGCAAAATAAAAGATAAGTACAACATAAGCATGCAAAATAACATTTAAAAACAATAAAAAAAAAATACACATCTATAACCTTATTAAAATAAAAATAATGGTTTTTAAAACTAAATAGTACAATAAATGCGCAAATTGAATTCTGATTAAAATATAGAACTTCAATAATATTATAGAATTCTTTGTGAGCATTTACTGTATATAATGGATTTTAAAACACTTACATACCCAATTAACAACATTTTCGATAAAAGCCAAAATCAATTAGTTAATTTTATCATCAAATGAGAACATGCAAGTGATTTTGGCCTATTTCTCATTTAGATCCTGTTATTTTTTTTGTTCATAGTGTGTGTGCATAAAATGAAAACAGAGAGGAGGAAAGTGTGAGTGAAGTGTGATTGGTTTCTTTCTTTTTTTTCTTTGTTGAAAAAAAGAAAAGAAGAAAAGAACAAAAACTAAAAATGAAATGAAAACTCTAAATAGAAAGTGACGAAGAAGAAAGAAATTTGCAAACTCTCAATATAAACACACACATATATATATAAGAGATAAAGTACGGTGCAACATTTATACAAGTTAACTACTGCATATATAGAGAGAGATTAACTTGGGAAAGAAAAATAAAAAACCGTTTACGGTGGTGTGTGAGATTGATTATAGGTCAACGCTACTATCTTCAAGACTAACCTCTTGTAGGAGATCCTGTGAGGCGATCGCTTTCAGTACAGTTTTTTTGCTCGTCTCCTGGATCTCGCCGCCCAGCAGCAGCTCGTCCAAAATGAAGTAGGCCTTCTCAAAATTGAAAATTATATCCAGCTCGCAGACGCTGCCAAAGTACTTGTCCAGGAGCTCGACGTAACGATGGATTATCTCCAAGGTGAGCAGCTCATTGTCGTTCTGCTCGATCGCGCAACAGAAATATAGGCTGGCGTATCTAGGTGAAAATTTCGTATTAGAATCGTGTGCGAACATTTCGGATAGGATCGGCGAATTTGCATTCTTTTTTTGTGACAACACCTCTTGTAAACAATCTTCAGGTCTCTCCATTCGAGGAAACTGCACATCTTCGGCTTCCTGGTCAGGATGGTCGTGATCAGTTCGCGGGTGATCTTCTTCTTCAGCTTGTCGGGATGTGCGTTGTACCATTTCTGCAAACGCAGCTTGCCTTGGCGGCTGAACAAAAGCATGAACTGCATCTATGGTGAATAGCGAAATCGTTAAATCCTTTATATACCAGACCAGCTGGACGAGTACGGTAAAATAGTTTACCATCGCTGCGAGAAGACTTACGTTGCAAACGTGTATTTGCTTTCTTTCCTATTCAACACGATTTCCTATAGTAATTATTGTACTTTCCAAGGCACTTCAATAAAACATTTTCCACCTTCCACAGGACACCCACACCTCTCGTGACACATCCAACAACAACAAATAATGATGACAGGTATACCAAGTGCTGCCAACTGCCAAGAACCGAGTATATAGTGTGAGTATAATTCATTAAAACTCGATTTCCTTAACTTACAATTAAATCGTTTCAGATATTCGTGAAATCAACATTGAGAAATGTTCGAGAAGGTTCGTCTCTAAAAGCGAATACATTTAATTGGTTTAATTAGCATAATTAATTCAGGTAATATATTCTAATGAAACTTAACCTAACTTTATTCAAATTTGACATGTTTAAATTGTTATTTTTGAATTCCAGGTGAAATCAGTTTTTAACTGAAGGTATGATGGCTCAAGGTGTACCTAAGTATGTTTATTTAAAATTATATTTATTTATTATAATAATTTACTTTTTTCTAAAGTTCAAGACTTCTTGTTGATGAGGTGATGAAGAAAGCGCTTCGGGAAGCCGAAAGATCGTACAAGGAAACGAACGAATGTATTGTTCCCATAGTAACGTTAATTTTTTTGAATGTATGCGATTTTATATTTGCAGTTGGCGTAGATGCGCTCAACGCGTTGAATCAACTATTTGAAAACGTATTGATGAAGGCATTCCAGGTATTGGACAATGCCAAGTTCATGGAATTCGAAACGCGGAGCGGCCTGCGAAGCGTTCGGTCGATCTTCACCAGCGATGATCAATACCTGCTGCTGGACGGTGTGAACCACTGCAAGTGCGAGTACTTCATCTTCAACGTGCTGCAGCAGCAGGAGTCGCTCACCTGCAAGCACGTCCTAGGCGCGCATCTCGCAAGCATCTGCGGGAAATTCGAGCGGAAACTCCTCACCGACGGCCAGATGACCGATATGCTTAATTCAGCGACACCCGCTCTCTTCATCACATGATCGATGCAATTTTGAAACTTTCGGTTGTTGGTGATCAATTCTGTACGGCATTGAATAATTAAATTTAAAGTGGACTTTTAATGATTTTATTTTCCCGGTGGGAAAACGGCGCGCATGGTCGCACAGGCTTCTTCACTTTTTATTCTCTCTCTCGTCCGCTCCTTTCCCCCCGATTTTCCCCGGCCGACGTCGTTTTCCCGACGCCGCCGCCAGTGATCAATCGCACGCGCCATGGAGAGCGTCGCGACGCTGACGCTGTGAGCTGGGGGGACGGCATCGCTGAAACGAAAACAACACACCCGAGAGCGAATGGTGGTGGTGAACCGCAGAGTCGATCAACCGTAATCAAAGTAAGTGAAAATCATCTCAATTCAACAGAATTAACAATTTTGCGCGATTAATAAGGGAGGCCGTGGTTGAAAAATGGAAACGCATACATATAGATACACACACACGCACGCACACTACGTGAAAAACGACCTCGAGCTCAGTGTGTCATCTTCATTGTTGATACTGTGACCGATTCATTTCTTTCCGATTGATTGATTCGAATGTATGCAGGGGGGGTGCGAGAGAGGGAAGGGGTGGTGTTCAAGGTTTCCACGACGATTAATATTTCATTTAAACCCACGTCGTTTCCTTCCATTGTGATTAACGCCGTTGCGACGTTATTATCCGGTGCGGGGGTGGCGAAGTAGTAGGAGGATGTAGATGGTGCTTTTTGGAATCGACTTTGTATTTTCCCTATCCTCCACCCCTTGTACGATCGGAAACGGAAAATGATATGTGTTTTCCGAACACTGTCAAGGTTGCATTATTTTCTTGAAATTATCTTTCCTCTTCTGCGATCGATTGCTGATAGCATTATTTTTTCGGTATATGTTGATGCTCCTCGGTTCATCTAAGTTTACGTTACTTAGCAATCTCGAAGTTTTGCAAAAGTTCTGTAGCAATTAGACGTCGATCTGCAACGAGTGTTTGTTCAACTTTACGAACTTCTCATACAAGTTACATGTGTGCGGGCTTCTGCGATCAATGCGTTTTAATTGCTGAACCAAAGTTTTCAGTAAAAACAATCTTCTATGTTTTCGAGTTCGTTAATAACTGTTTTACACGGAGTTCATATCTGTCGATCTGTCACGTTTTTAAAATGATTAAATCATTATGGCAATTGAAATCATGTAGGCTGTTTCGCCTTTCAGTGAATGGTAGAAAAATAAAACAAATAATGCAAAAAAATATATTAATTCTGACCTAAATCATAATTTAATTAATATAATAAATTTTAGTAAATTTAAACTAATGTTCAGTGTAAAAAGATATTTCGTGTTTACAAATGTAAATATTGCGTATTTCGAAGTCATCATACATTTGCAATACATGAAGCTCTTCGTTCTTTATTGCAAACGTTTCCGTTAATTTAATGCTTGACTTTCATTAGTTAAATTAACAAACACATAAATGTGCTATTATTTCCATGTTTAATTGAGAACTTGTAATTTTCATTTTAGAAAATCACAATTGTCCTAATTTCATTTCATTTTTAATGTAAAATCTGAATTGTTTCACAGTTAAAGTGTTTATAATTAAAATTATAACAACTGTTTAGATCACTTCAAATTGTGAAATTTACTGGAAATTCAAATAGTTTTTTTAACTCTTTAACTCGAACTGCTGAACTAAATTCATTGATGGCAGTTTTTGAATTCAAGGACATTTTCTGGGGGAAATATGGAAATCGTCGTGGGGGTGAAAAATATTAAGAGGATAGTGGAAAGTTCGAGTTGAAAAGAGCAATCGAAATGGAAAATCTCTTTTAAACTTTTAATCGAACGATAAATATTATTTTTCAAGTTTCGTCATTTTCACGGACAAATTTATATGAAGTTGTTTTCTACATCCGAAACGTGTGTGTATAAGATGTAATAGTTTTGGAAACGGCGACGGAAACTTGTCTTTCAATCAATGATCGATTACCACCTACAAATATTATCGACATGACTTATAGTTTTAGTATCTCTTGATCTCTCCTATAATCGTAATTTACATATTCGTTTGTAGCTCAATTTAGGTATAAGATTCCTAATTTAAATTATTCTTCTTTTGCAGGTAATTAATTGGATACCTTTTGGAGTTGTGAAAGGATGTAAAAGTGGTCGAGAGAGACGACGGAGCGTGTTAGGTCGAGATGACCCGAGACGGGGACATCCCCACGATCTTCAATCCGCGAAGGAGTCGAGCGCCCAGCGTTCTCGTTACGGACGAGGGCGTCTCCAACGGTCCGTTCACCCATGCGGATTCGGTGGGTAGCCAGCAGGAGGCGACGGCAGATCAGCCGCTGTCGCCGCTCACCACCAAATACAAGACCTGCTCGGACTCCCTCTGTTCTTCGTCCGCCAGAAAGGTAAGTTCACGTGACGTGACGACGATGATATAATCTTGGCGTAGAAGAAATAAACAACAAAAAAAAAACAGCAAAGAAAGAAACAAAGAACAAAACAGCACAAAGAATAAGAAAAGAAAAAGAACGTTACGCGCGCAAACCCATGTAATCACGCGACTCTCGCCGCGACGAAACGCTTAGCGTAAATCGCACGCAATAATGCAATTTCTGGCGTGTGCTTTGTATACGGTTTAACGAGTCCAGCATATCTGGAAACAAAAAGTTCTTTAGTTCGATTTGCGAACAAATATACGAGAGTGTTTTCCACTCTAGTTGAAGAAGTGCGTGTTTATATCACGTACTTGAATTTTTCAACTTACCAAATTCTCCATTTATTTGGAAACTTATATTTTAACAAGTACACTTGTTACTTGGCAAGTAGCGTGTACAATGTTTTACATTATGCATTTGATGTGCTTCAGATCTACTTCGGGATTTGGGTGACGATATGCGTGACGGCGTCGTGGGTGGGTGCCACCCACTGCATCAAGTACCTGTACATCATGAAGCCGGTGGAGTACGACGAAGCTATGGTCCTGGCGCCGCAGGATGGCGCCGGGGTCAACGTGACCGCCATCCATAATCATTACGTAAATCCTCTCGCACACAATTATCCTGTCTCTGTCTCTAATCATTCGTTAATGTTCCATTCTCAGATTGCCACGTACAAAGCCCCATTCTTCACCACTTGGTTCGTGACCAATTGGACCATGCTCTTCTTTCCGCTCTACTTCGTCAGTAGGCTGGGCAGCAGGAGGTGCGAGTCGCCTTCGGACATCCTCTCCGAGAGCATCAGAGACTTCAGGGACAAGGGGTTCACTGCAGGTACAAGAATCGATAACTATACTAATTGCATACTAATACCGATCGTCCTTTTCTTTCGTTTGTATCTGTTGAAGGGAGATTCTTGACGCGGTGCAGCCTCTTCTGCTTGCTCTGGGTTGGAACCAATTACATGTACATCAGGTCGCTGCACATCCTGCTGGCCACCGATGTCATGGCCCTCTTCGCCACGAACATCTCCTTCGTATACCTTCTGTCCTGGGTGATTTTACACGAGCAATTTGTTGGAATCAGGGTAAATATAATCACTACTCTTTCACATTCGAATCCATCAAATACATTTGTTCGGACGTAGTACACAAACCTGTGGAACATCTAATTCAATTGGAATAGTACAATATTTCAGAAATTTTAGAAAATATTTGCAAAATTCATTTCTCTCTCCTTTTCTGGCTTCGTTATTAGCTAAGTGACATGAAATGAGCTTCTATTTGATAATTATTACTTGATTTTTCCTTGCATTCTGAATGTAAAGTAATCTTTACAAATGTTATTGGGTCGATAAGTAAATTCCAACATTCCACACATTCAATTAGGTAAAGTAATCGAAATGTTCTGGAAAATGTATGAAATAACAACTAAAAACTATTAAAGTCCTGTAAAGTCGACTAATTTAAACATGGTGCACTCGGTTGGTTCGAATACATTACCATTTGATTGCGCCTCGAACAAGCTAATATATTCAAAGTTTATCAACAATTCAGTGGAAGGCAGGCAGCAGCAGCAGCAGAAACACCCCTTTGGCTCCGGTTTGATTCCGATACGATCCAAAAGCCTCGAAATAGCCCCACAATTTGTCACAGCGATCGATAATTATACCAGTAAAGCATTATTAAAGAGAATATAAACACGGGAACAATTACAGATACACACGAGAAGGTGCCATCATTTTCACTGCGAAGAATGTTTACATTCCGTGCGTTCGCGGTTTTGACTTGCAAATTTTCTTTTTTTTGCGGGTTCGGGTTTAAAAATGCATTTGAATTTTAAATTCGCGCCACCACCCTCCCCTGACATTTGCATTTCTATGGAAATCGTCAGGAAATGCGAGATCCACGTTTCCGGGCGCGACTTCATTTTTTTTTAATCCCATCCGCATTACTGCACAAGAAAGAACAAATTTGAATGCGAATGCAAATCATCGCAATTTTTCATAGATTTTAAAGGTATTATTGAAATGATCTTGATTCACTAAATGCATATCAATTAGAATGCTTTTCTTTTTCAAATATAAATAGATGCAAATGGAATTACACGTGGTTGATGGCCAATTTGGAGGGAAACCTCTTAACAGACATAAATAATAATAATAATACCTATCGATTATCATTGTACAATGCATTATGCAAGTGAAGAGGGAACGTCGCGATTTTCTTGGGTAGAGGCGAAATAAAATATGTTTTAATTTCATTACTGTCGCAGCGGGCGTTTCTATAAATAGTCTACGTACAAACAACAATGTTCCAGTTACGTATTTTTTTGCCGCCGCCCTTCCACATGCAAATTGCTAAAGTGCGTGCTCCGAATATTAACGGCAACTATTACATGCCGCTTTGCAATTAATTAAAATATAAACGCACTCGTAAAACGGAAATTAACGATTTTCAGCAAATTTCAACTCGCATTTCCTGCTATTTAAACACTTCAAAAATATATATCTTCCTTTTCATAAATTTCATATTTTTTTTAATTGTAATTAATTCATCTCAATTAAGTTTATCGTTAAACTTTCGTTTTGGATTTACAAATGCGGTTCGAGAAAAATAAACTGCAAGTGTTGGTTTGGTGGTAATTTGGCGACGAAAAGTTTGCTTTTACACTAGCTCGGTCTGGATTACTGAACTGAAGTTTTCGGTTCGTTTTCATAAAGTAAAACTTTTGTTACGGAAGATCGCCGAGCGTGGTAAATTAATTATTTTTTCCCCCTTTAGTTTTCGTTTCGTTGCTGCATTTAAAGTTTTGCGAGTTCATCAAATATATTGTAGGTGTTTATATTGCATTCGTATTAATTAATTAATTAGTAAATTTCAATTAATTATGTTATGACTATTTAATATGCGCCAAATATATATTGAATTACATTCTATCAAATTGACTCAATCTACTGTCAAAAATGTTTGATATGTCAAAATTGACATCAAATTATTTGACATTTGACTTAGTAACCATAACATTGTTTGTGTTTAGATAATGGCTGTGATATTGTGCGACACAGGAGTCGCCCTCTTGGCGTACATGGACGGCATCACCGGAAGTCCGACGTTGGGTGGCGTCGTCCTGGCGACTTCCGCCGCCGCCGGATCCGCCGTCTACAAGGTGCTCTTCAAGAAAGTCATCGGAGACGCGACCTACGGCCAGGTCGCACTCTTCTTCTCCCTAATCGGGATGCTCAATGCGGCGCTCCTTTGGCCATTGAGCCTGGGGCTTTTCCTGACCGGCCTCGAGACGCTCCACTGGGACCGCTTGCCGTGGCCGGCGCTCCTCGCCGCCAGCGCCCTCTCTTTAGGTGAACAAAACCACAAAATCCGAAATGATTGTTTCTAATTTCTCTTTTACTTGTTTTTTTTCCTGCTTCAGTTGCCAACCTGCTAGGAAATTTCAGCGTAGCCCTCACGTACGATCTCTTCATAACGTTGGGCCTAATCACCGCGGTTCCAGTATCTGCAGGTAAATTTGTTACACACTCACACACAAAATGCAATAAAAGTTACATGGACGTTCGTTTAATTGGTAGCTTTGGACGTGGTGCTGTACGGAGCGCAGTTCGAAGGAATGAAGTTGGCTGGAATGATCCTGATTGCAGTTGGCTTCTTCCTCGTCATGTTCCCCGACAATTGGCCGGATTACATAACGCGGCTGCTCAGGTTAGTAAAATCACAAGAGAAAACAAAGTTTTTTTTTTGTAATAAATTGGCGTAAGAGTGAGAGAGAGTAAATATAATGGCGCGCAGCGTATCTCTTCTATATATTACTGTAAAACCGTTAATATTCTTGATTGATTGTGTTGTGGGCGCTTTTCAGAGACTGAAAATTTTAATTTTGCAGAAGAACGACGCGAATCTTCAGGGGCAAGGTTTGTTCTGTATGCTGTACATTTCAATATTTCTCCCAATCAACCAACCAAAAGAAAATATACAAATTGAAAATTTCAACTACTTTTATACAAATGCAAACAAAACTAATTCAATCAAATTGAAATCACCAAAAGTCCAGCGTTTACTCGCTTAGTGCTGGCAACCGCTAGAAGCAACCATTCTCTATATATATACAATGTACCAATAATTTAACAACAACTTAAGCTTTCTTATACCACACGCATTATTCTAACAATATTCCGTTTTTTTCCCTCTGTACGTAAGATGAATACATAAACCACGCTAAAAAACAATAATATATATAGAGCGCTTGAAACAAGACCAACTTTCTCGTAGTTACTACCTCAAACAATATAATCAATTATCTATCCACATATACCACATATACTATTTTATACTCGTTGCCGTGTTTTATTTACGCTAAATTCCCTTGTTGCAGAAATATCATCATGTTGAGTCACAGTGCCAGGTAAGAAACTACCGACTTGTCTGAATGGATATGCGCTCTTTCTTACTTACTTTCTATCTATCGTTGTTTGTTTGATTCTTTCTTTCTTTCTTTCGTGCTTCCCATCTCGGAAAGCCGCAACTTTCCATCCTCAATCACTCAAAAAAATCGATTCAAAACGTTGCGCAAGAGGATGGAAGGTTCCCCTTTCGTTTTTTTTTTCGATTCTCTGCACGCTCCGAAATATTCTGTTTTATTTATTTTTATCTCTTTCAGTTTTTTCCATTTTATTTCCAGTTTTTCTTTTTCGGTTTCCTTTCTCTTTGGGGACGTCTGCGCTCCCGTTTATTCTATTTGCGCATTCGATGTTCTTTATTTCTTATTTTTTTTTTTAAATTTATTTCAATCACACACTCGAAATATTATACACACCTCCCAATATTGACCCCATCACAGAAAAAAAAAAGAGATTTTTTTTGTTTAACAGTTAATACCTTTTCCGTTGTATTTTCATTTTTGTTTATAAATCGATCAATTTTTGCATTCTCGGTATAATAATCTCACGTGAAAGGCATTTTTTAAATTAATTTTTACTCAATACAATTGTTTGATAAAGTAGATTTTACATATTCGTACTTTAAAATGATTTAAAAAATGGACAGAGTGCTAATTTTTATATACAGACAGGAAATTTTGTTTGTTAAATCGAAGTTTTGGGGCAATTGCCCGGCACATCCACCAAAATCTATAACATTCTCACATAATTCAAATAAGAAATATTAGAATCCCGACGCATCCACTATTTTTATTATGGATTGGATTCAAGTATAAATAAGTAAATTCATTATTTTTTTTATATACTCGTTTCAAACTAAAACGATGTTTTGAACTTTGGGTCGTTCGCGCCTCCGAGACCTTTACCCGAACATTTGGCCTATTGGTAATCGGACACAATGGGAAATTTAATCTTTGCGTTTTATTACATAAAACCGCCCCCCCGTTTACCACCGCTCATGCGACGCCCGGCGATGTTACGTAATCCTGGTTATTATACACACACACACAGACGCCTGCAGCCGCCGCCACTTCGATGTTGACTTTGAAGTTTTCAATTGTTTCGAGGTCAACACACCAAACGTTTCTCAACTAAGCACGAATTAATCAAGAAACTCAGTATTTAAATACAATTTTTTGCCTTCCACGTGAAATTATACTAAATATTAAAACAGAAAAAAATCCGAGACTGCAAACTTGATCGTATCCGTAATCTTAACTAATTAGATTTGTTTTTTTTGTTTACATTATTTTTGTACATAATCTATTGTTTTTTCCCCCCTAAATAATCAATATAATACTTAGACCCCTTTTCACCACGTAAACTATAAATGTTTGACCAAACAAAAAAAAAAGATTATTAATACTGCAGTAGTCTTGATTGATAGATTAATCCAAGGTGTTCTGTTTTCTCTTTTACTTTATAGTATGCCGACCCCGAATCGGGGCAAAAAACGTGAATTGATGTATGTATGCGTAGTCGGCTGCGTTGTCCTCCTGATGATGTACAAGATCCGGTAGAAAGAAAGAACCCTCTGTACATTTTGCAAAGAGAGAGAGATCATTTATTACATATTGTTCTTTGTTCTAACATTCTCGCAGCAGCAGCAGCAGCGTTTCGATAGGAATCATATTATCCGCGAACCTCCCCACATCTCATTACAAAAAGTGAATATTTTTCTACATGCAACCCCCCTCATTCAACCACCCGCAAACCCCATTTGAACCTTTTATTTGTATTCAAACTTTGAACGTTGACCACCCTTGAACTTATGTACATTCTTCTCCTTCTTTTCTAGCGATAAGCGAATCGTAGAACCGCGCAAGGGTTACGGATCGTGCAAGTAAATGTAGAAAAGAACAGAGTCTTCCACACGTCCAACAAAATATTAATAAAAAAAAAAATATTTTTCTAAAACGTAAAGAAATGAACAAACCGAACCAGAATCAAAGCAATAAAGAAACGTGTAGTCATCGATATTAATGATAATGATAGTGACGATAAGATGTTTTAGCGAGTTAGGGAGATTGTGAATTGCTCAAAATTGACTAAACTGTTAGAATGTTAGAAGGAGAGAACAAATGCGTTTTAAAGAGTAATTAAGAAAAGGATAAAAAAAAATCGACGAACAGTAGCCTAATGTTAAGAGAAAACTTTGTTAACTAGTAGTTAGATTTGTTGTCCCCTTCGAATCCAGAAACCCAGCCCCCCACTCTAATCATATTAAATGAACGAGAATAAACTTTTTTGATTACATAAGAAGAAAAAAAAACTGCGTCATAGTATTCGAGCTTCTCTTTTAGATCCCCCACACCCAGTTTTTTTCCCATCTTCTTTTAGTTTTGATTCGAATCCAAGTACGAACAAAAAGCAACACATTATTACACAACACTCACACACACACACACATACAATGGCGCGTCGAACACAAACACGAGATATGTTTGTATGTATATATATGTTGCACTTGCAGGTGGGTTTTTACAACAGTGTTTTTGCATGCGTGCTTCGCACCTAGTCTTTTGGTACAACGAAACCTTTAGTTCTTAGGAGTTCTCTCTTCCGTTTGAGATGTTCGTTCTTGTTGTTGTTCTTTTGTTTGTTTTTGTTTTTGACTTTACGCAGCAGACCTCGTTTCTACTGGCAAGAGGATCCTTTGCCCACATCTTCGGTGCACCAACATTAACATCCACACGCCGTATGTAGAAAAGAAAAGAACAGAAAACAGCCGAGATTAGGGCGCGACAAGTGCCCTCTTTCTTTGGCCCAGGATCTTTGATATTACTAGTTTTTTTTTATTGTTCTTGTTGTTGTTGTTGTTACTGTTCTTACTGTTATGTGCTTCTTAATTGTTTTCTTTTCTTTCTCGATGTAGCTGCGTGTTTTTACGTTATGTATACGAGTGAAATTAATTTCGCTTTTCCACTTGATTTTCAGCAAGCTGACGCACAATTTGTCTTTCGAACATTTACGAAATTGAAATTTCAATAATAGAATATCACTCTTCAATACGCATCATTTCCATGACTGAGTGAATGCATTAATAGAATTTAAGTTGAGATAAAATTGTGCGTCGGCGACTCTGACTCTTTCTTGTGTTATTTTTGGTTTCGTTTTCAACTGCAAGCGAGATGATTTAACGTTTTGTTATTTTCTCCACCTGATGATTTCTTTCTTTCTTTCATGTTTTTTTTGTGTGTGTTTTCTTGAATTATTTCATTTTTCTTCTATTTTCGTTTTGGGTGGTTTCGCACCGAAACACGACACACGGCTTTCGGTCGCGCAATGTTTCTGTTCTCGTTTTCCGTTCTGTTTTTTGTTTCTTCCTGCAGGTGGAGCAGGAGGAACCGGCACGGGGTCCAGGGTCCGCACCGTCGGGACGTCGTCGACTATCGCACTGGATACATCCGATCGCACCTCCGGTCGCCCTCGGGAAGGGTCAGATGACCGCATCTGGACCTGGTGCAATGAGTCACGGCGAACTCGATCTGTAATCCAAGTAGGAGAAGGGGAAAGAGGAGGAGAAGGAACAGGAGATGCGAAGAAGAAGGAGAAGGGGTCAACGACGACCATCCACGAGTGAAGACGACGATGAGCAAAGGAACACCAACACCTCACCACAACTAAATACTGCTAAATTATCATTAATCCCGTACTAGACAATTTTTATCAACAAAAGAAAGAAAAGTAAACGAGGGATACTTCGAGGATACTACCAGTAGATCGTAGGTTTTATTACTCTCGAAGACATTTACATTATACGGATTTCTTAGACTGACTAAGCAAGTGCGAAACATTTAATACATAATGAAACATATCTAGTCGGAGATGGAAGCGAATAAAGCAAAATTTTAGGTATCCTAGTAGTTAGCTAATATAAATATATACAGGGTGTATACACAAACTCCAACTATGTTATATTTCAATGATTAAGCAATTTTATCGAAAGGCAATGGTTTAGAATTAACGAAAGCAGACATATCCCAGCAACGTTTATAGGACCAATAATATTTGTAATAACTCACGTAACTAAAATTTGTAATGTTTTTTTCCCAATCCAATTATTGTTATATCAATTGAACGGTCCATGTTTTAGTGTGTAAACCAAGCTGATGTACATCCTGTATGTGTAAGATATCCGTTCACTATTGTTATTACTACTGTAATAGTAGATTTCTTCTATTTTTTATTAACTTATCAATTATGTATTAGAGAATTCTATTCGAGAGATTTTGTATTCGAAATGTCCACATCGTATTATTTAAATACCAATTGAAATCAATCAATCAAAAATTTAAAAAAAAATATTTAGGTAAGGAGTGTAAACTCCAATTTGCAAATAAATCTAAATTATTATTTAAAAAATCAATTACACTAAACGAAGCAAGTGAATCAATTTTCTTATGTCGAAATCAGAGCATTTTGTTTCGTTTTAGTAACAATTGAATAATAATGAAAAGAAAAAAAATGTAATAATGTGATTATATGATCCTGTAATTTCCAAATAAAATTGAAATTCTATTTTAATGTTTTAGAACGATGCTGTTTTTTTTTTCTGATTATGTGGTACAAATTAAATAATTAAAATGTTTATAATATGAAAAGTAACGTTTTTTTTTTGCAATATAAATCTAATCAGTTCGGTTAGAATTAACGTTGATTGCTTAAGAAAGAAACGATAACGCGTATCCGGTTTATTAAAAAATAAAAACATGAACAGGAAGTTCATGGCTTGAGCGGTGAGATGTTATTTATGAGGTTTATTTGTTTGCGCTAATAATAATTGGGATTTACCAAATTGGAATAACTAGAAACATAATTAAACTGTTATTTTTGTTGAAGCAGGAAATAATAATTGAAAAACAATATTATTAGTTAAAAGTATTAATGATTTGAAGATTAGTAAAGTGGAAATTATTGTACTAATGCATGTTTTATGTATTATTCGATTTATATTTGAATAATTTCGATATCTTCATTATGATTTTGCATATTACCAACTTATTTTCAATTGATTTTTTTTCATATATGCATTTAACGTTATTTGATCAAAGTAGATCCTGGCTATTGATGGGCATGTATCTTTTTTATGGATATATGTGATATGTACAGATATGTTATAAAAGCGTCTTTTGTTTTAGGTTGCTGCGTGCGTGGGTGGGTAGATGGAGTGAGCGATGAGCGTCGTGGAAGAATGAGCGGCGTCGCCGTCGGAGGTCGCTGATGAGTCGCGTCCAGTTGGGCGGATGAGGTGTGGCGCGAGCGTCGATTTCTGCGGCGTCGGCGTCGCGACGTCGGAGCGAAGTGCGCAGCGGCCCCGGAGGGGGAGGGCAGTCATCTAGCAGGCAGCAGGCAGCAGCCATCCATCCTGCCACCCAACCAGCCGCCACAAGAGAGCCGTGAGAGAGACAGAGAGAGAAAGAGAGTGCGAGAAGCTGAGAAAAGGGGGGCGAGGGAGGGAGACGGGTGGAGGAGTGTACGTGTGCAGGAGCGAGACGGTGATAAAGGGAAAGGGAGAGGATAGAGGGCGAGCGAGATAGATAGAGGTAGAGAGCTAGAGCTAGAGAGCGGAGGAGAGTAATGGTCAGCTGGGACAGCAGCGGGATCGTCTGGAAGATCGGGAAATGGTCGTGGGCCATGTAACTCGGGCTAGTCGTCGTCGTCGTCTGGGTGGTTGCAGCAGGAGGAGGAGGAGCGGTGTGGAGGAGACCGAGCCGCGGCGGCCGCACAATGTTCGCGTACGGTTCCGAGATCACATAGACACCACGACAGTGTAATTGTAATTATGCGCCGCGCGGCGACGACCGCTTCCATTTCGCGGTGAAAATCTGGCGTGAAACACGGTGCTGCGGTGCGGCGATGGCGATGGCGTCGGCGGCGGGTCCTGCCGACGGTTCTGCGGTCGCCACCCACGGCCACAGCTTCTGCAAGAAGACCTTCCACAAGCCCACTTACTGCCACCACTGCAGCGACATGCTATGGGGTCTCATCCAGCAGGGCTTCATCTGCGAAGGTACTAAACTACTACTACTACTAGTCTTCTAATTACTACCATACACCCATCCATCCATACATCAGTACCCTCGACATCCACCATATATATATATATACATATACATGTACCCTCAACATCCACCATACGCACGCAGCAATTCGAACGAATCCAGAACACACCTCGCTCAACCATACCCATGCACACGCATACCATCTCTATCTCTCTCTCTCTCATTCTACATACATGCACACGCACACTCATATATACTCATTCACGTATATAGGTCATAAGCTCGGAGAGAGAGAGGTCATCTCCTAAAAACAACCCGAAACTTAGAAGCGAAACCCTCAAAAACCCATACAACCGGTCGCGCATCATTCACCATCATCCCGATGTCCCTGGGCTTCGTCGGATCAATCCCTAAATACCTAAAGCGAGAGAGGGCTGTGGGAACAAAGGCGAAGGCATGGATAGTTGAATGAATAGCGGAATTCGGGGCTGACGATATCAAGTGGCGAGCGAGAGAAGGCCGTGGCGGCTTTTGTTTATTTATATGTAGCGAGTTTGCTGGAGCGGCCGCGTCGCGACGCCGCCGCCGCCGCCTCTTCCATTGCGGTCGTCGACGCGCATCGATCGCACCGCTTTCCACCAACCAACCAACCAGCCAGCCATTCAGCCATCCAGCCAGACCCGAACCAATCACTTTGTATACATATATACACACACACAGGCCCTCCGAAAATAATACAATCAGAAGGGAAAAAAAGAGGAGCACGAAAAAAAAAACACGTCTTCACACCGAAGCCTAACCAAACCTATCTATATATACACATAAATATATATATATATTAAAGCATTTTACATAACACCAAGTGGGACGTCCCAGTTTCTCGAGATGTCACACACATAGCTTAATCCAACTTCGCTTCCTTCGTCCGATTCCGATATGCACAATCGGCGGTTGTCAAGTTTGCGAGCTTCAATGGAACGAATCCGATTCATCGCATCGCAACTACATACAAAGTATATAGATATACAAGTGTATGTATATGTATATACACACATATTATGTATTGCATCGATGTAATTTCATTTTCACTTAGTCCGAATCAATAGTCCCGTTTATTTTGGAACAATGTACGACGGCCGTTCCCGAATCTAATTTCCAACACGTCCCAAATCCGATTTCCACCGTAATAACTATTTTTGAAGCGCCAACGTACACACACTCACAAATATACACACACATACACACACACATCCATATATAAATATATAGTCGTACGCACACGTGAGATTAAGAAACGTACGGCGAAGACACAGAGTCTGCAAGGAACCCACTTAAACTTGCCTGAAAATCTACTAAACTTACAATATACACTTACATTTTCTTTCCCTCCTAATCCAACATCTTCTTAAAAACTTCATGTGGCAACGTTGAATTCCTCAAAAACTTATTACATAATATTTACACATAATATGTTTTGTTCTTACTAAAGGCATAAACCGACCAAGAAATCTTCAATCACAATTATCACATAAACAATACTTTTGGAAAGTCACAATTCCAATAAGATTCACACTTTTTTTTTTATCATTGCACTGTTTGTTGTCAAAATGTGTTTATTATTTACAAAAGAGTATCGCCATGTAATAAAAATGAGCATGCTGTGCTGGCGAATCTACCAACTTACATAATAAATGTAACTATATTCACATATAGCCAATCGTTTATAATAATGAAAAAAAGTGGAAAAAAACGTCAATTATGTTTTTATGTGTAATATCAATCATTTGTTAAGATCATTGAGTTGCATATACTATTCATAATTAATATATAAAAGGAAAACAATTCAATTTCTTAATTTACATTGTTGTTTAATAATAATAAATAAATGTATATCAACTGTGACATAAATATAACAAAGAAATTTTGAAAATTTAAAGTTTAAGAAAAGTTAAATTAGTTAGATTTTTAAAATTAGTTTATAATATTTTCTGCTGTTTAAAATATGTTTTATGCAATAACAGTTTTGTTGATCAAAGATAAAATTTAATTTGCTCCAAGATTACCAAAACAATTATGCAAGTTTTTCCCCAAATTCGATTTCGTATCTTCTTCACGTCGTTCCTAATCTCTTTTCGTTCCGCGTTCCGCCACTTTCCGAATATGTAATAATGAATCAATGTCCGAAAATACATCCCGTGACCGCGGCTTTTTGATAATTTTAAATCCCGTTTTATATTTGGCTTTTCGCGTGTCTCGCGTAAAAATAATTCAAATTGATGATCGTGCTGTAGCAACGCATCCATCGCTCGTACACCATATAAGGGCATTTCTTCAATTATGTGTGTCTGTAACATTATTTCTAAAAAAAAAACATAAAATTAATGACATAAATGTCATTTTGACGTTTCTCCTGCATTTTGACATTTGACATTTATCCTGTTGATTGATTTTGTCAATCTTGAAACGTTATTGGATTTCTTTCTTTGGAATGGATTGATGACGCTTCAAAGATCGAAAATCCAATTCGAGCTGTCAAATTGAAAACAGAAACAAAGAAAAAAATGAGAAATAGATGAGAAGCTCGCGATCCGCGGCTGGTTGAAGATGGGTCAAAAGCCCAAGGTTAAATTGAACCGGAACTGCAAAAAGGAAGCGAAACAAAGAAAACAAAAGAAAGAATCAGCTAACAGCCGAAGAAATTGTCGGGATGAAAATCCCGACTGTCGCATTAGAAACAAATGGGTGTACGGAAATGTCGAGTCCCACTGTCACAGTTTAACTTTAATCTTCTTCTTTTTGGTGTCAGTGTATTCTTTAATATTGATTTCCCTCTGGCGGCGGCGGCGGCGGTGAGGCAAGAGTTCGTTCGCGAACAGGACATGCGTATTCTTTTTGGGAACGGGATTTGCGTTTGGGAAGCCGTTTCACCTCACCACCACCACCACTGCCACCGACACCAAACCAACCTACCATCCCCCAACTGCTTCCTCCTCCCTCCCTACCTCGCTCACTCTTCCTACACGTCTTCCTCTTTCCACGCGCGCGAATCTCGCACTGTGATTCAGTCCGCACAGCCTCCTCATTCATAATTGAGAAATCGCTTACGCAAATATTGATTGGCTTCGATGATGGGCCTCGTATAATTATTTAAAAGTTCTGACCCGACGACGCGCTTTGGTCAATTGCTGTTTCATTTAGATCTATTTTCTTTCTGCTTTGCAAGAATTGGGTCAAATGACAAAACGAAACAAAACGTTTGCACCAATCAAACAAAAAAATACCTTTACGTTTGATAGCTTACATAATTTCCTGTCAAATGCAATTTATTGATTTTTGTCAATTACCATAGAAACCTAAACAAGATATGCTTTTATTATTATTCCATGGTGATGTAACATTATATAAGAAATGATATTATTAAATATATTGTAAAATCACAATAACCCGTGAAAGACAAGTATAAGTAAACAACTACGAAATTAGTAGGAAATGGCGTTATTGCTAATTCTTATTAAAAACTAAAGTTTAGGTGCGTTTAAATGTTTGAACAATGTTTTTACTGAAATAAGTAAATTTGTTGATGGTGTATAGGCGATGATGTCGACGTGCCATCGATTAAAGAGTCTATTAGAGACGTAATCAAAGCGTCGGGGATGAATGCTCCGGCGTTCTTGTTAATTCACTGGAAATTATCTAATATTTGCTTTGCGCAAAATCGAGTGGCGAGAAGAAAATTCGGTGATGGAGGGAGGTGGGTGGGTTGGATGGATGTAGGAAGGAAATGGGGTGACGGTGTTGGTGCTGTAGTCGATGTGTGCGATGGAAAATCTATTACGGGGTGTGTATGTGTGTTAACCGCAACACATTCTGTTCTTCTTTTGATTGGAATTAATTCGATTTTGCGAAGGTGCGCGTTGACTAAAAATAGGTTTTCCGGGTGTCGAGAGAGAGAGAGAGAGGATGAGTCGAAGGGTTTTTGTACACCGATATTCAACGTTGATGATGACGATGATAATAATAACAACAATAACAACTAATGACATAATTCGTGTGAAAAGGCAGGATGAGATGGATATAGATACACAGTACATATCTATATATATATTAGTATAGATATGTTCGAGTGTGAAAATGGGAGAGAGAGAGATGCGATGTGCATTGTTCTCCTGTTCGAGACTGCATCGATTCCCGCCGCGCTTCCATTATTAAAGGGAAAACTAGAATGGAAAGGGCTAAAATAGCCACACGTATTGGCATTCCGCCTTTTGATACGCCCTCTCACTCTCTCCCTTTTATCTTCACATCTTCCTCTTCGTTCTCTTCATCTATCCATATCTCTTTCTACATATAAACACACACACACATTTATATATAATAATAACTATATTTTAAGCAAAAAAACAAGTGGGCTTTGGTTGTATCTATCTAGAAGCGGCAACAGCCCAAATAACAAAAGAATAACACCTAGATACGAATGTTTCGACGGTGGCGCCCTTCACGAATTTCGTCGCTATCTTTGCTCCCTTTTTCAACTTCCTTTGTTCGCGTCGTTTTCCCAATTTTCGTGTGTGTGTATGACCTTTTTATCTATGGCACGAATATAGATATAGATAGATATAGGCGTTTGATATATATATATATAGTGTGCGTAACGAGTGTAGATGGAAGGGGGGAAGGTCTCTGTGCCGTGTGCTGAAAATAGCGCGTATCAAATATAATAATGGTTTGCGTACAAACAGACACATACACATGCTATATAGTAGATGAGATGAGCGAAAGCACACTTCTCTCTCATCCTCCACCTCGACCTGATCCTCCTCAGTCGAACCCGCTGTGCGTTAAACACACACTCACACACGCATCCACATACAAATAGAGTTTAGACCTTGTATTGATTTATTTGCACAAATCTTGTGCAATGGATCTCGTCCGACGTCATCGCCGTGACGTCAGGAACGGTGCCGTTTCTATTCCAGTCTGAACACACACACACTTGTACGTTTGACCCAATTTCACCTATGCAGAGAGAGAGAGAAAAAAGGAAATTAAATATGAAACAAGTAACCCGAAAACATTGCAGTTTTATTTGCGTTTTATTCGCATTAGACTAAATCAAGAAATAGTGCTGAATAATCTCGTTAACTATAACATAAAGTAACCGAGATAAATTTACAACAGTAATCCGAATTCATAGAATTATATAATCTTAACAATTTAAACAAAGTATAATGGTTTTGTTTCCTAATAAAATAATCAATTTATTACTATTTTATTATAGTGATTACATAATAATCAAATTACTTCTGAAAATGTTTATTACAAATAATGTAGAGTTTCTCAAATTTTAAGTACAGTTTCTCGATGACAGCTGTCGATGACATATAAACTATTTCCTCAATAACTTACTAAATAAATTTCACTAAATAATTGTGATTGTTACTGCAGAGATTTAAGATTACACAAGAAACGAATGGATGGACGTGAAAATCGCTTCGAATAATCTGCTGAAGTATTTAAGATGTAGATGGTATCAGTTAAGGGCTCTGACCTATTTGATATCAGATGATGCATACTTAGCAGTTTTAAAGAAAATGCTTGAAAATTTATGGTCACAAAAAAAAATGATTTACGAAGTCTACGATCTTTACTTTAATATAAATAAATTTTGTTGAAATATCGTTACCATAGTTACTTATATTATTTTCAATGAGAAATGTCATATACTTTCTTATATAATAATATTTGTTTTGGTTAAATCGAAAGTAATTGCTGATTGATGTAAAAATAACGTTTAATTGATGTTTATGTAATGTTATTGTTTGTTTCAGTTTGCAACTTCGTGGTGCATGATCGCTGTCTAAAGACGGTGGTGTCTCCCTGCTCCAGCGTCGCAGCCAACCTGATCAAGGTAATTGTGAAATCTTGTTGAATGAGATTAGTTATTGTTGTTGTTCTTTGTTCGCAGAACCCGGTCGCTCATTGCTGGTCGGAACCTTTCCATCACAAGCGGAAGTTTTGCAACGTCTGTCGCAAGCGTTTGGACGATAGCGTTTCCATCCACTGCGAAAGTAAACGATGCAACGAAAACTAGCGAATTAGATCAAATTTGTAATCAATTATCTTTGCAGTATGCGAGTATTACGTGCACACGGAATGCCAGGACTTCGCGGTGGCCGATTGCAAGGAGAACGCGACGTACCTTCCTGGCAAGGGTCTCTCCTTCGTCCATCACGAGCACCATTGGCGCGAGGGCAATCTTCCCAACAACTCCAAGTGCGCCCTCTGCAAGAAGACCTGCTGGACGTCGGAATGCCTCTCCGGGTATCGGTGCGAGTGGTGCGGCATGACCGTAAGCAGAAATCGCTGTTTGTTAAAAAAAAAACGGTTTTAAGAAGTTGAGAATGGTTTCAGTGTCACGCTTCTTGCCACGTCAACGTGCCGGTGGAATGTACTTTCGGCATCCTCGAACCCATCTACCTGCCACCTCATGCGGTCAGCATTCCCAGAACGGAGGTGCCCATGGAGGCCATCATCGGGGTGCAGGTCAGACGCAAGGAGACCCTATCGCGTAAGACAACTGCAAGCTCCATCTTCAACATCCACTGATTCGTTAATTATTTACAGCGAGGAGCATCTCCGAAGAGTTCAGTTCTGGTGACACGTCAACCAAGTATCGCGAGTCCGAGGAGTTTCCTCAATCACAATCGCACTCCTCGCAGTCTCGCACCGATAAGCAAAACAAGGAGAAGGAAGACCGCGACGAAGGTTTGAACACCTCCAAATTTCTTTTAAATACTTGAATTTAATTTATCTTTCAATTGCAGAAGTTATTAAGGTTTACGACGGCAACAATTCGGCCAGACGAAGGATCTTCCGGACCATACTGGTGGCTCGACAGGCGCCTCTCAAGCAAGTCCTCACGCAGGCTTTGAGAGCTTTCCACATCACCAAGGACCCGGTTTCCTTCCATCTGACCGATATGTACGCACCGGAGGAAACTCGTCTTCAAGATCCGACACCGGTGCTGAATCTGCACAGGAAGGAGGGCAAACGGCCGGCGGTCTTCTTGCGCTTCAGGTGAGAGCCGGAAATCGAAAAAGAGAGACTTCTTTTTTTTCTTTGTCTCCACTGTTATTCCCTTCCTTTTCGTCCCTCTCGCGGCTCCGATCAAAAGGAAGAGGGAAACGTGGAAAGAGAAGCGCGACGTAATTTGATTGCCTCGGTGGCAGGAAGCCGGTGACGCCCCGCGCCTCCCACAGGACACCGAAAGTGAAATTAGTTTCCAACTTATTGGCTTTTAATGATTCGATGAGTTTTTGTGTCATATACGTGTATTCCTTCTCGAGCGCTCGTCTATAATCGGTAACAAAATGGCCACGTTTCATCCTATTTTTACAATACATGTTAAATACTCAATTGGCGTATTTCACATATGATATAACTTAAATACAATTTATAACTTAAAGTCATTAACATTTCGTATTACAGTAATGATATTTGTAACTAATTTATATTTGCACGTACCATCATAAACTGTTCACATTTCAAATCTTCTATTTTGTACCACCAGTTTGTAATCTACACAATTAATTGTACCAACTTTAAGAAGTCACCACATATTGCCAACCCTAACATATTTAATTATTACTAAAATTACTAGTTATTTAAGTATTTTTTAATAATATTGTCAATGGATTTGTCATTTGGGTTAGGGTGTTTCAAGTTGTTGGTTGGTAGATGACTTTAGTCAAATGTTTATTATATAAGTAGGCTGGCAATTGAATAACAATGAATCAAATTTGACGTTTGTGAATTTGCTTGTTTTCAGGGATAGGGATAATGATCAGGGCGAAGTTCGCATGTACCCAGGGAAATTGCAGGTATCTCAGGCATTCTGCACCGTGCCTGTAGATTCGAATACGACCGTCGCTGATCTGATCAGCGAGTCGCTCCAGAGATTCGGACTCGTCGACATCCAGTGCGAGGATTACCGCTGCAGCGAAGTGCTACTGGATAGAGGAGGTTAGTAAGAATGTTGTTTAGAATTGGGATTTTACGTGATTGTGGATGGCGTTTTTAGTTACTGAAAGGGTTCTATCATGGAACGAGAGGCCTTGGGAAATAATGAAACAATTGGGCAGAGACAGCATCCGACAGATGGAGCTGATGCGGTTCTACCTGCAGCTGAAGCAGGATCCGCACGGTCCGAACCTGGCGCTCTTCGTCGGAAATCTGCCGCCCAATCTGTCCGAAAGAAACTACGAGAACATCCTCACGGAATTTTTGGGAAAGGAGAACAAGTTCTCGAAGATCGGACCGATCTACTATGAATACGGCTCAATGGTGATCACTTACGAGGATTCCGATAAGGCGGTGCGCGCACTGTACGCGCTCCGCGAGTCGAAATTCGAGGAGAAGCATCTGCTTGGTGAGTATTGTTCTCGTTTAATGCTAGTTGAGATGATGATGCAATTTTTGTTTCAGTTATGCTGTTGCCGAATATCGAACCGTCTATGGTTCCGGCCGGCGTTCAGCCGCTCCTCGTCTTCGTTAACGTAAAGTCGGGCGGTTGCCAAGGCTCCGAGCTGATCTCGAGTTTCCGAAAGCTATTGAATCCCTATCAAGTCTTCGACTTGGATAACGGGGGGCCTTTGCCGGGCCTCTACGTCTTCCGCAACATCCAGAACTACAAAATTCTGGTGTGCGGTGGGGACGGAACGATCGGCTGGGTCCTTCAATGCCTGGACAACGTCGGCCAAGACTCGCAGTGCTCATCCCCGGCCTGCGCCATAGTACCTCTAGGAACAGGTAAATTGCTAAACAAACATCTATTCTTTTCATCATCATTTAATATATTACTTTTTTTCTAGGTAATGATTTGGCGCGGGTTCTGAGATGGGGCTCGGGTTATACGGGGGGTGAAGACCCGTTGAACCTGCTCCGCGACGTGATCGACGCGGAGGAGATCCGGCTCGACCGGTGGACCGTCGTTTTCCATCCGGAAGATAAGCAGGACAGCGATAACGTCAAACAGGTCAACTCCACCGGTAAGAAGAGGCAAAAACTGTCCAAAATGAAAGTGACCAATGAGCAAATTAAAAAAACAGGTCAATCATACATGTATGTCGATGTTGTTTTGCTGTAATCTAACTCTTTGCGCCGGAACTAACTGATTTAGCCAGAGAGATAAAAAAACAAGTTATTGTTTTTTTTTTTTACATTATTAATTTTTATTATTTCCAACATAAGATACATAAAGAAACATTACTCTGAGTTTACGAAACGTAGTTACTACCTCATCACATATATAATTTATTATTATTATTATTTTATTTATTTATCGACACTGTCAATACATGAAACAAACTTACTTTTCAAAAGCTTCTATTTAACAAACATAGACTGCAAGAATTTAAGTTATTTCGAAAAGAGAAAAGAGTTCATATTTTTTTACTTAATTGTTAAAAAATAGAGGTTTTTCGAAAAGTTAGTGTTTTCAATATTCTATATTGATTTCTGTATTTATTATTTTCTATAATTTATTTATTTCTATGTTTACATTCTCTGAGGCCACGTTTGTATGATTTTCTTTGATTTTTTTTTTGTTATTGACAAATTAATATTTAACTTATTTGAGTTTAGTAAACTTTCAGTTAAGTTTTCGTTTTGTTTGAGATTAATACATATTATATATTTATATATACATATATACATATATAAACATTTCCTTTAGCATTTTTGACTGAGTAGTGATTAGTTGGTTTGAGATTTATTTACTTATTACTATTATTATTATTATTTTTGATTGATATTGAGGATTAATAATTTAGTGGACGAGAGTGTTGAGATGCGATGGATGTATGGATGCATGGGTGGACTGATGATGAAGATGATGATGATGAAGGAAGTAAATAAGAGAAAGAAGGTGTGTGCGTTGTGCGGATGGTGTGGTGAAGTGAATCGCGCTTGGGTGGTGGTGGGCGGTTCGAATTTGCGGCCGGTACTCAATTTCCCTTTTTGCGTGCATGGATTTTAGTCGTGGCCGGTTCGACGAGCGAGGACAACTCCCAGATATTCGTGATGAACAACTACTTCGGCATCGGCATAGACGCCGACCTCTGTCTGGACTTTCACAATGCGCGCGAGGAGAATCCCAACAAGTTCAACAGTCGTCTGCACAATAAGGGCGTCTACGTGAAGATGGGTCTCAGGAAGATGGTGGGACGGAAGATGTGCAAGGATCTGCACAAGGAAATGCGTCTCGAAGTAGACGGAAAGTTGGTCGAGTTGCCTCAGGTCGAAGGAATCATCATTCTCAATATCTTAAGGTAAGTTTCATTTTAATCTACTTATTTTGGTTATGACTTAAGTCATTTGGAAACTGTATTTAAGATTATTTGCGTTGTTTCTATAGCAACTGAATAATTTCGGATGTTTTTGAATAATAATTGAAATATAGTTATTTTTTGGACGAAGGAAGCTATGAGATGTTGTATTAACATTAGTTTTTGTTTCTTGTTGTTTTTTTTAGTTGGGGCTCCGGAGCGAATCCTTGGGGACCGGAGAAGGAGGATCAATTTTCCAAGCCGAACCATTGGGACGGTATGCTCGAGGTGGTCGGCGTGACGGGGGTCGTGCATCTGGGTCAAATCCAATCGGGGCTCAGGTCGGCCATGCGCATCGCTCAGGTTCGAAACAGGTCCTCCTCCATACCTCCCAACCATCCATCCACCAATCCATTCATCCATCCATCCCAAATCCAACAAAAACAGCAACAATCTAATTCGTTCCTTCTTTGGATTTGTTTGTTTTTTTTCTTGTTCACAGGGAGGTCACATCAAAATCCACTTTCATTCCGATATACCAGTGCAGGTCGACGGAGAGCCCTGGGTGCAGAGTCCCTGCGACGTTGTTGTCCTCAAATCCGCACTGAAGGTAAGCAAGGCGCAAGGAACAAAAAAAAACAGTCCAAATCACGTCCTCTGTTTGTTGGTTTTGTTTTCTTTGCTACTTATTTTATCCGCTTTCTGTTCACTTTAATTTTGTTATTATGGTTTCGTTTTGCTACTCCGCTGTGTTCTGCATGCATTTTAATTTTTCGATTAGAGTTGGTTACCACCATCACCCCTCACCCCCCCAAAAAAAAATAGATTTCAATCCCGTTGTAATATTGTGAAAAAAAGAAGAAACGCGCGCGTCAACCGCGTTTTGTTTCCTGCTCTCTGTATCTCTAGCGTGCACAGCAAAAGGCGCGTTCACGCTGTAGCAACAAGCAAATTTATCTTTGCAATCAATTTGAGTATCTAGTCGAAAACTTTGAATTGCTACAGCGTGAATCAGTCATTGCGCATCTTGACACATTCCTGTTGAAATTAAAGTAAAATAAACTCACAGACACCAGTAACAACATAATGAACACGAGCCCGCGCCCGCAAATTTGTTTTTGTCGCCAGATGTCGCGCCATGTCTAAAAGGTGAAAACTTTTTCTTCTGTTTAGGCGACGATGCTGAAGAAAAATAAGTTCAAGCGTCGGCCTACAGAGCCCAACATTCTTCCTGCAAACGGGGAGGGAGGCAAAAGCACAGACGATTAAAACAATTTCCTCAAAAAAAAAAACCTAAAAAAACAAAACCATCATCAACAACAACAACAACATAATAAAATGAAATCCCCTGCCCGTTCTTATTTTTACGTTTCAACTTCGTTTCTTTATTCTCCATTGGAACACTTACTACTACTACTACTACTATTACTACCGTTTGTTATTTTTTTTCCGTTACTACTCTTGTTTGTTATAAATACTTAGAAGATAATTTTTTGGCATGTTTAGCTTGCGATTCTCGAGTTTTAGTGAATCTGATTACTACCAAAAGTCATATATATATTTACACAAATATATATATATGAAAGTTATATTTAAAAAAAAAATTATATATGAATGAAGACGAAAGCAAGGCTTTCAAATTTGTTCTGTTTGTTGATTTTGCCTCTCTGCACACCGCCAGGCGACGATGCTGAAGAAAATGAAGGGGAAGATGAAGAGGCGCAACACCGAGCCCACGATGCTCGTCTCGCCCGGCTCCAATTTGGTACCCCTGCCCTCGAACGACGGGGAATCCCCCACGGATCCCAACAACACCACCTTCTAAAAACAAACAACAACAACAACAAATAGTAAACAGAAAAGCAAAATTACAAAACGTAAAAGAGCGAAAGAGAGAGAATAAAGTAAAAGAGAGTACATCTGCAAGTAAACAAGAAAAAGAAAGTAATAATAATATTAATATGAATAATAATCCGTATGTGTATTTGTGATCAATTTAGTTTAATCGGAAAATTGTTTCGTTTTTTCGTTTTTTTTTAAATTATTTTTAATTTCGGTAGAGTTTTATTATCGAAATGGAGCGCGCGGTGGATGAGGAATATTAATAATAATAATAATAAATATGTAAACTGTAATAATAATTACGTTCGTATGGAAAATTTCCAAAAAATTCTTAGAGAAAACAAGCATAAAATATATGAAAAAAAAATATATATATAAAAGAAAATATTGATTATCGATTGAAGAAGGAAAAAAAAGAAAAGAAACACACGTTATGTATATGTAAATTGATAGAGGCCAAAACTCGACAAAGAAACAGAAAATGAAGAACAGGAAGAAGGAGAAAAAACAACGTTTACTTATGATTTGCTGAGGCAGGAAGATTGCGGACGGTTTCCGGTTCGCGTTCGCGAGTGAAAGTTGGATTTCCGGGTAGAATTTTGTGCTGGAATGTGCGGACGCGCGCGCGCAAGTTTGTTTTTCCGGAAAAGACAGGACTTTTGCAAACAAAAAGAAAATTTGTGCGTCGCGTTCGTCGGAGGAATGTTTTGAAATCCACGTTTCATCCGAGTGCGGTTCGGATCGTTCGTTTCGTTCCGCTCGCGTCGCGTTTTCCAAGAAGTCATCAACCACCTCCACCCCAAAGGATGAAGAAGAAAAAGCAGTGGGAAGGAGGATGTAAACTGATTAATTTTGAAGATCATCGTGATGATGATGATTAGAGACATTGTGTGGTTATCGGGTCGGGGCGGATCGTGGCCAGAGGTCGGCCTCGACGCGAAGACACCTGAAGCAGCCAACTTGGGAACCCGACCGGGGACGTGAGGGGCTCAGTTGGTCATCTCCATAGGGCTGGCAACGCTACATTTCCGCAACATCTGCAGAAGATGAGGAAACGAACGTGAACGAACGTAAATGGGATGATCAATCATTTTATTCACGGCCCCGGTCCCTTTCCCGACCTTTTGGCACCAGCCGGATGCGAGAGAGATAGAGAGAGAGAGAGAGAGAAAGAAGGCAACCAAAACCTAAAGAGAGAGAGAGAGAGAGATGAGGAAGAAGCGGAAATTCCCAACGGATGTTAGCTGATAAATCAAGTTAGGAAAATGCAACAAAGTATATATATATAAATAAATAAATATTTAAAAAAATAAATGACAAACTAAAAATATTGATGTGCTATGTTTGTAATAAAAGTTGAAAACAAATCATCTTTGCAAAACAAGAAAAAAGATACTTTGTACGTTGCGATCACACAACAACAAAAACAACAAAAAAAGAAACATTTCATTCCTTCTTCCGTTCCTTCGGATATCGATCCTACCATCTCTTTCTCTCTTTCTTTTGTTTTTTTTTTCGCGGGTCGTCAGCCGCCCGCCCTCTCCATGCGGTGGCTAACACCCAGGGAATCTCTCCACCACCACCCCCCAACCTCGAAGCGTGTCCCGCGTGAACACATAAATAATTAAACAAATGGAAAAAAATAAAATAAAATAAAAATTATATGTATATGTGAAAATATTATTAAAACAAAACCAAAAAAAAGTATAGTAAATTAAATGTAAATTAAAGAAGTTTTACGAAGTTTTTGTCTTTTTCTTCTACTCTCTCTTTTTTTTATTATGCGTCATTTTTTTCAGCACCTACCACGATTCCCAAATCCATTCAGTTTATTTGACATTTCTGGATTATTAATTTGACGTTTCTAAAAATTAATTAAACATAAATGAAATCAATTTATCGAATTTAGAAGATTAGAATAAATGAAAAATGGCAAAAGTTTCATTAATTATATCACATTTTTGTTGTCTCATAAATATACACGAAACAATGTGTTAATGCGCTTTGACGTTTATTTAATTGGATTAATATCTCTTTTGTTTCCGTGTTAATTAATGAACAAAAAAAAATGGTAATAAATTCGCGATTAAAACATGACGTAAATTAAATTTCATTTTTCAATTACGACATGCGAGACACGCGTATTCCCATTAAGCTTTATTAGTTTTATGCAAAATACACTTTTCACGATTAATTTGTAAGGAATTAAGTTGAAGGATTCGCCACGAGATGGAACTGGATGCGTTTGATAGATTGCAACTGTTCATACATTAAAGTTTCATAAGATAGACGCGGTCAGATCTATACTGTATCCAGACTGTGATGAAATATTGATGCTGCACATATCGAAACACATGTCTCTATATCAATTGTTTAAACGGAAAGTCTGCTTAATATCATTGATTTATTATTTGTACGTGACGTTAAAACAAGTAATTGATGACATCTGTCACAATTAAAGTAATGTTATAATTGTGTTTCCCTAATGTAGTTCAAAAGCGTATACGTTCTTATAAATATGCAAATTCGAATTAGTATTTTATATTCGTAAAGCTTAGCTATAAAATGAACTAATATGAAACTCGTGTTTCTGATTATGTGAAACTACTCGTTATATGAATATGCAACTGTACTTGCATTTGCATAACTGCAACAGTATTTTTTTCTCTCTCTCTCTCTCTCGCATATGTTGCTGCCAAATTCGAAGTAATTAAATTGACCTCGGTTTTGGCAGGCTATTAAAGCATCCAAGTTTATCATGTCGACGCTAAAATCGGTTTATCGCCTTTACTTACCGCCTCCGCAGAACCGTCGACACCCCTAACTGTCTCACTCTCTCGTCTAGTGTCTGTTTTCTTCCCAATCGCCTGCCGGAGGGTTGCTGACGATCGGAGTGACGAAGACCGGGAACGAGAGTGGGTGGAAATAAAGAGGATGAGGAGGTTTTTAGGTGGGTTTCGATTTAGATCCCCCGGGGAGATGAATAACAGAACAAACCGACATCTGCGGCGCGAATAAAACCGCCTCAGACACTGCCGCTCCGTTCTACTCGGATTCATAACTTTTATTACGATCTATTAAGAGGGGGCCTGCGGTGATCCGAGAAAGGCGACGACATTCATGCAGCCCTTTTGACTCACAATGAATGAATTAATAGCATTCATTCAAAATTAACTTCAACTTTAACATTTCTATGTCTATCTCCACAAGTTTACAAGTTCACACAACATATCAAATATATAATATAACGAACTTTTGACAATTTTTTTTACAGATTTTTTGTATCAAGATTATTACTAGTCTCATTATTGGATCAGTTTATTTAGTCGGTAGTCATTTAAAAAATCAAAATCATAGAAAGACAACAATTGCAATTCTGTCATCTGTCATTTGCAAATTGCAGTTTCATTTGGACATCAATTATGAATTATTGAGTCTGCAAAGTTTTATCAGTGGATCTTCAGCCGCTCGCCCCGTCCGACATCGTAAAAGGTTGCAAGCACTGGAATTGGATTTGCATAATTCACAGTGCAGGTGCAACAATGTGCACGTGAGTGCGAATGAGTGGAAGTCAGGTGTACGATTAGTTGGTACGACTGGGCCCAGTCAAAGTCAGTCAGTGTACGGTATTAAATATGTTAATATTTCCATTCAACGCTCTCGTAATGCATCGCACACATTAATCTAACTATTTACTTTGGCATTCCAACTTGGACAATGGACTCAAAGTACAACACTGCATTAGA